TCTGTAATTCAATAAAGTTGTGGCCAAAATTTTCCCAACAACATAAACCTAATATCTGTGTCCTTGTGTGAGTTATTTCCAATGAGGAGGTGGCTGCGGGGTCTCGACACGCAACGCGTAGGTACCGATTATGATGCTTTCTGTCTGATTTGGATACGGTTCCAATTTTATTAAAACAAACAAACAAACATCTGAACATGTGTTCATTACGAAGCTTTTCTATAATCCGTGGAGAGGAAAGAAAAACAAAATGTCCTGGATACACAACTTGACATTCATAGGTTGGTCGTTGTGCCCATATATCACTCTCCCCAGCATAGATAGTGCTCTAAGATTGGAGGACTGGCTTGGGTGTCATCTTTAGACCTTTCCAAGTCTGTGGTTTTAAAGCTGCAGCAACTGATTCTATAGCCAGAGAAGCTCCTATAGTGGTCAAACCAGTCTCTTTGGGTGCTTCCAGAGTGTTCTAAAACAGAGATGGCAGGGGCACTATGTAAGGAGAATGTCCCTGTGAAAAAATGTAGCTATGTCATCACTATTTGTAGACGTTTTCTTATGCTGGATGGAATCTGTTATGTACTGAGTTGAATAGGATCCAAAAGGCAGCAGTCTGATTGGTCCTAGAACAACAGGGTCAAGAATGCAGCAGTATGATTGGTCCGCAGGAGCCAATCCAGCTCCAGGTGGAAGTGAATCCACAACCTGATTGGCCTACAGGTGAATCCCGGAATTAGCCAATCACGTGGGGCCCATTGTGTAAATAATGTATATAAAGCAGACATTCTGGGGGAACTTCCGTTCCTCCTCACCACTATGAGCTGAATAAAGAGCATGAAATCCACTCTCGACTCCGACATTTCAGAATCCTTTAGTCTTTTCTTCCCTATATGGGGTGGGGGGGCTGAAGTGGTGATTCACCCCCTGCGGCAGCGATTCCAGGGTCCCCCTCTTAAAGGAGTTATATATATGAGTGTCACTGGCCATACACTGAAAGGTCATCAGTGATCTACCCTGCGTGCGGGGATATGGGCTTGGCTGCCTGCTACACTTACGTCTCCCAGAGCACTCCCCATATCCCATTTACCCTGATGAGCCCCAGTTCCCCCCAGCTGGGGGGCTGGGAGGGATACACGCCCAAAGCCTAAGCCAAGGTCTTCCTACATTCGGAAGTTAAATAAAGTTGTGGCCTAATTTTAATTCCATATAACGTTGTCGGTCTTTATTCCTTCCTTATGATCCCTGGGGGCTGGGGCTGTCACTGCCTGGCCACACAATGTCCCTGTGAAAAAATGTAGCTATGTCATCACTATTTGTAGACTTTTTATTTTGTGCATCTCTGATGCCCAAACAGCTAGTTCCACTTTCGGTGGGGTGGGACGACTCCTTTGAAGAAGGCAAAATTGCTTGTTAAGGTTCAAAATACTGACTTTCCCAGGGCTTTCCCCCCCAGCCAGAACTCATATAAGGGGTGGGTGGGGCTCAAAGGGGTTCAGACCCTAGGAGTCGGTGCCCCTGTCTCAGATTGTCATTTTCTTTGGACCTATGTCAGTGTAAATTCCACCAGCTGAGCCTTGACTGAACCAGCAGAGTCCCAGCTAAGTTGGACTGAGGAACTTACAGCAGTGAATCCCTGTCTAACCCAGCATAAGGGGGGTTATGTTGGTGGAGTCCTGAGTCATCTTGGACAACCCATGATCCATCTATTCCAAACTCTCCCAGAGGATCTTGGGTTTGGATTACACTCCTAATCTGGGAACTGCTATTTGAGCATAGGTATTTTATCCAAAAATGCTGCATTTTGTCCCTTAGCCACCACCACACAATTGAGTAAAGCGGTTGTTTGATTGGCCTTTTTATTTAACCATAGGAAACTTTCCCTACCCATTGCTTGTTATATAAAACCAAATCCAGGCTGGGAAGCTTAAATCTAATATATCCTTTCTGGTCTTAATCAGGTTTCCATTAGCATGCATTTAGATATTATTGAGGTAATAAACCCAACTGAATTTTGATGCTGGATTTTTCCTTTGCTGGCTACAGTGCGGATGGTTAAATACCCTAAATATATTCAAAAGACAGGAGTCTTTCTCCTCCATAAACAAAGAGGATTAAAAAAATCCATGTATGTAACCTTGAACTTTGCAGTTTATATAATGCACTGCTGCTATCACAATATACATGAAGGGATTCTCACGATCACAATTTCCAACATTTGGCAGCTTTTGTGGGAAATTTCAAAGGAGCTCAGCACAAGGAGAAGGAGAATTAAGTCTAGCAAGGACCCCAGCTTTTAAAAATCTGCGGCATGTTGAGCCTCCTGGTTAATCAAATTCTTGCTTGGCTGCTTTTGGAACTGCAAAATAAAATCTTGATATTTGCATTTCTAATGCAATTTTGAATGCTGTCTGAAAATGCCTTGAGATGCAGGCTTTCTAGTTTCCTGTGAAGAGAGATTCATTGTTAATCCACTGGAGAACTACAGCTACCAGGATTCTTTGGGGGAAGCCCATTAAAATTATGGTATGAATGTAGTCCAGAATTGTCAAGGGAGTTTCCCTGACATGCCCTGCTTGCACATCCATGAAGTTGGCCCAAAGCAAGTGAGCTGGTGATGTCACTGGGTAGTATGAGATTTCCTGAGACTTGTCCAGGAAGTTTCTCCACACAGCACAGCCATCCCTCCAGACCATAGCAAGCAGGCTGGTGATGCTGCCATGAAGCATAACTACTGAAGGTCACTTTAAAGGCCTTCAGGATAGCAGGCTGGGAGCTGTGAAGAAGATGCAACCAGGGTTAACTCAGGTAAGCTTGGATGTGACATAGCAAGCCATGGTTAATCCAATCACCCGCAAGGTACCTCCTCTTTAACCAAGGTTCATAAATCAGAGGTAGTGTTAACAATGGGGGTGAGACCTGTGTACCTTTGTCAAAAGTACTTGTGGGCAGATCCCAACGTAATGAAAACACAGAGACAAAAACAGATGCACTCAAGATCTAATAGACATTCAAACACTCCCATCCAAACAAGAATTATGAATACAGATGCTTCAAGGTGTGCATGAAGGAAGTTCTCAGTCTGGTACGTTGGGGGGCTGCTTATACATCACCAACAAAAAAGGGGGTGCTAATTTGCATAATATACCGTAGATGCAAATTTAGAAAGAACCACCATAATACAATAGCAGGGAAGACTGTGACCGAAGGACCACATTGAGGTGTCTGCATGCTGACCACTGATGGTCAGTTTCCAGGATACTGATGCTCTCCCTTCTTATGGATTTGAACTGCATAGCCCTTAAAATAAAGGACTTTTTACAACAGAGGATTCTTCTCTATGAAGGATACATGGATACTATTGCCATGTCTGGTACATTGTTGTGTGCCCAGCATGATACTGGTACATCCAGGGGTGGGGTGGGGAGGCTGTTGAACCTTGAGGGACCCCACTGCAGCCTACTCTTCACAGCATGGCCTGGCTCCTTACTTCACAACTTAATAATTTGCCAGGCTTAATATCCACCATGCCTAGCTATGCATTACATCTTTAACGGTTTACCTTTATAGCCCAATTTGTGTCAAAGAAAATGTAGCACAAAGAGTTTAAACTTTGAAAGGGGAAAAATGACAAAACTGAGCCATAGTCTTCCCATTTGCTCTGTAACAAATATCAGCTGTTAGCATGGATGAGCTGCTGAGCACACAGCCTAAGCTGTCAAGCTCAAACACTTCAGTTTAGACACTCATCTCTTCACGAAGGTCCTTTCCTTTCCCACAGAGAATTTATTTTAAAATAAAGTTAGCAAGCGTCATATGGTTCCAATTATTTCCTGAGACGACTGGATCTGAATGAATGTGACATGTGACTTTGGAGGGGGAAAGAGAGAGAGAGGCTGGTAGCGCCCACATTCTCGTTCCCATTAGGGCTGACATTAGTTATGTTGTGCTGCCTACGAACATTAGTTGCTCATGTCAGAGTCCAAAACAAGTCCAGTCATTTCCAGACTGCTATAAGTAGTTTACTCAGGTAGAGCCGGAATGATATACGTCATGCAAGAATTATTGCTTTTAAGGTTCAGGCTTGTCCATTATTTGATGGTACCTGCTGCAATTTCATCCAATCATAGGTAGATTTATTTGTGTTTATGACAAATGGGCAACAGCTTCATGCCGAATGCCTCATCTAAACCAGTGCCATGGGTAATCTGAGCAGAATTTGTGTTTGCTGTCATATGGGAAAGGAAGCGAGGGATCTCACAAATAGCAGAAAAACCGAAAAGCGTGTTTTAAAGATGCCAGTATCCTGATGAGATGAATCATAGAATGGTAGAATTGGATCATCTACATAGCTGTCAAGTGTCCCTTATTTGAAGGGACAGTCCCTTATTCCAGCGCCATGTCCCACTGCTGTCGCTTATTGATGGATGCCCCTTAAATGTCCCTTAAATGATGTCCCTTAAATTTCAAAGGAAGCAGCTCCTCTCCCTCCCTCCCTGCCGGCTAGGGAGGAGGGAGGCTCCAACTGTGTTGCTTGGCTGTGTTGCTCACCCAATAAGAAGTCTAAGAACGACTGGGGGGTGGAGCTTGCATGCCTTCTGTGTGGCTAGTTAATGCAAGCTGAGGAGGGTTTTGAATGCTGGACGCAATTTTGTTGCACATGCTGCTGCAAACTTTGCAGTGCAAAGCCAGGCCGGGGAGCCATCTTAAGTTGAGGCTGCATAGGCCTTGTGGTGCATGTGATTCAGATTCTGTTCAGTTGAACCTCTGGTTACAAAGTTGGTTGGACAGTGTTCTCGAAGCTACCAGCATGAGTTTGACCAGACTGCAGGAGGACAGGAAGACTGGAGTGCCTGGAACAGGTGAGGCTGCAGGTCCCTTATTTTGGCTGCTGGTCCCTTATTTTCAAGGCTGCTGGTCCCTTATTTTCAAATCTGTAAGTTGACAGCTATGCATCTAGTCCACAGGGATCATCTAGTCCAACCCCCAGCAATGCAGGAATCTTTTGCCTACAGTGAGGCTTGAACCCACAGCCCTGAAATTAAGAGTCTCATGCTCTACCAGCTGCACTCCATGATTCTAAGAATATTTATGGTTTCCTTTGAAAAGCAGAGAAGGCTGGTTTCAATATGTGTGTGTGTGTTTTTAAAAAAAATCCTCAATCCACTGTGACTTTGAAATATTCGTTAGTATTCCAAAACCTAAACTTTTTGCCAGTGTGGAAAGAAAGAGAGCTCTGCTACAGTAGAAAGCCTGTTGTGAGCTATTCAAAGAGGCTGATCAGCAGTGGGTGTAATCAGACATAGCTCTGCTGGAAAGGTCAATTGAGTCTTTTGGCTTCTCAGAGTACAGAAAATGCTCAGTGTTGTGGGACTTTCTTAATGGCAGATGTTTAGAGCCCTTGCGCTCCTGACGCTGGGCTAATTTCACAGAACTAAATGGAACGAACACTCGCTGCTGTCACTCCAAATTGCTCCCTCTACTTTTTCCTGCTTAGCATGTAGTTAAGACCAGTGCATGAGGTGAACAACAAAAGAGGTCAACAAAAGAGGTTTAAAGACTGTCTCAAGGCAAATTTTTAAAAATGTAGTAAAGCACCAACCATTGGGAAACACTTGCCTGTGAGCGCTCCAACCCGAGAATAGCCTTTACCAAAGGTGTCATGGGCTTTGAAGACACTCAAATTCAGGATGCAAGGGGGAAATGTGCTAAGAGGAAGGCGCGCTTGGCAAATCCACACCGTGATCAACTCCCGCCCAGAAACCAATGTCCCCACTGTGGAAGGACGTGTGGATCCAGAACTGGCCTCCACAGTCACTTACGGACTCGTTGTTAAAACCGTGTTTATGGAAGACAGTCTTCCTTGGCTATGATTGATCGCCAAAGAAGAAGACGGAAGAAGAAGAAGAAGAGGTGAAACCATCGTGCTGCGTTTGTGTGTTTCCTTATCATCGGCGCCAACAGAAAATGTTGTGATGCACATTCTAAAAGTTCACAAAGAATTCCTGTAATTTAAATAGAAACACACTACATCTCACTCTAGTGGGGAAGATGGTGACTGGGTGACCTGTGTGCTTGCATAGGTTACTGCCCAGGTGCTAACTGCTGCTGGGCAATTTCAAGGCTCTTCTCCTACCCCATGGTTCTGAGATGGCTCAGTTGGTAGAGCATGAGACACTTAATCTCAGGCGACTATGGGGTTGCGGCGCTCATCTCGCTTTTAGGCCAAGGGAGCCGGCATTTGTCCACAGACAGCTTTCCGGGTCATGTGGCCAGCATGACTATACTGTTTCTGGCACAACAGAAAACCGTGACGGAAACCAGAGCGCATGGAAACACCGTTTACTTCCCATCACAGCTGTACCTATTTATCTACTTGCACTGGTGTGCTTTTGAACTGCCAGGTTGGCAGGAGCTGGGACAGAGCAACGGGAGCTCACCCTGTCGCGGGGATTCAAACCGCCAACCTTCTGATCGGCAAGCCCAAGAGGCTCAGTGGTTTAGACAACAGCACCACCCACTGGATTAGTCAGCCCTTAAAATAGCAGACTGTAAAGTAAGACACGTGGCCTCCTGCCCCCTGCTCTTCACAGCTGCAGCCTGGATCCTTGCTTCACATCTTAATAATTTGGCAGGTTTCAGAGTGACAACGTCAAGTGTGCATTATTATTTTACAGTTCACACTGACAGCACAACTAGGGGCTGCACCCCTGCTTGCTCGCCTTGCCAACTTGCTCCCTTGCCTTGCAGGTTCCCGAAGTGCCAACTGCCTGAGAAATAAGTCCGGGTTTTAAAACGTAGGGTTTCTGTTTCACAGTTCCCACAGCAGGAGCTGCGGGAGAGCCCTGCCCTGCCTCAGTGCTACCAAAGTGTTTTCTCCCTCACTACTCATGGCAGAAGCAAGGCAGCAGTGGGATGTGGGAAGGAAGGGAAGCAGGCCCATGTAGAGGGGGGTAAAGGTAAAGGTAAAGGGACCCCTGACCATTAGGTCCAGTCGTGACCGACTCTGGGGTTGCGGCGCTCATCTCGCTTTATTGGCCGAGGGAGCCGGCGTTTGTCCGCAGACAGCTTCCGGGTCATGTGGCCAGCATGACTAAGCCACTTCTGGCAAACCAGAGCAGCACACGGAAACGCCGTTTACCTTCCCGCCAGAGCTGTACCTATTTATCTACTTGCACTTTGACGTGCTTTCGAACTGCTAGGTTGGCAGGAGCAGGGACCGAACAACGGGAGCTCACCCCATTGCAGGGATTCAAACCGCCAACCTTCTGATCGGCAAGTCCTAGGCTCTGTGGTTTGACCCACAGCGCCACCCGCGTCCCTTGTAGAGGGGGGTGGTCGGGTACATTTGCCCTGGACTAAGCCGGCCAGGAACCGACTGCTTTTTTGTTTGAGTTTATAACTTTATTCCAACAAGATTCCCACCCCGGGACTCAGAAAAATTCTGCACAGGCCTGAAGGGAAGAAATGGCTTTGTCCTAGTCCGTTCTACCTGTGCTGGCAACGGGAATGCGGGAAAGCTTGCCCCACATTGCTGTTTTCCACCTTGGACATCAAAGGTTGAAAAGATCAGCACACGGGTAGCTTAGATGCTGAGATGCGGCTGCAGATCCTGAGGCCACCGTACCACTGCTTCTGGGTACCTTCCTCATTCCCTTTCCACTTCATGCCACCATTGTTGCAGATCCTGAGGGAGGCTGGTGACTTCTGGACACCTTCCTCCTTCCTACACCACTCCTTCAACTCTTCATGCTAATCTGACAGCAGCTGCAAAGGAAGAAGGCAGTGACTAGCAGTAACAGCTGCCCCTCTGCAACTCACCTGGGCAGCCCCTTCACTGGCTCCCATCCCTCTGTAGCCTGCGGTGGCATCTGTTGGTAACCACGCAAACTACTACCAGGTTTACGCAGAAAATTAAGGAAGTCTCTTCTGTAATACTTAGCTTGTAAGTGCCAATTTCAAATCTCTACATGGTTTTTGCTTTATAGTTGTTGGAAACTGCTTTGTTTTTTTTAAAAAAAATGAAATTGCGGTGTACATACAGGCATACCTCATGTTGCCTCCGCTTCAGGTTGCGTTTTTTTGGGCTGCGGACTGCCGAAACCCAGAAGTGCCAGAATGGGTTACTTCCGGGTTTCGGCAGTCGCACATGCGCAGAAGTGCTGGATCGCTGGATCGCAACCCCTGCATGCAGACGCGGGTTGTGAACGCTGCGGGTTGCGAACGTGCATCCCGCATGGATCACGTTCACAACCCAAGCGTTCACTGTATAAGAAGAAGAAAATAGATGACACATTTTTCTGGACAAGCTTATATGCTCTGAGACTTTATCGCCAGTATGGCTCCCCACCAAATGCTGACGAAGTTAGAGAGCTGTGACACATCAGCTTGAGAAATAATGTTCATGATATGCTGGTTTTCTTTTCTTTTCCATTGCTTTATGCCATTTGGCTAAATCCCTGGAGCATAAGCCCTGATGTTCCCACAGATGCATCCCCAGAGAACAGACCTTGAACAGATTGTTGCTTACCAATGTATGTATCTATAGCCATTTTTTATCGTTACTTTCCATGCCAATTATCATATCAGTAGAAATATCTTAACCAGAGTTCCTCCAACCATAGATATTTATCTTCTTGTTTCCTTCTCCTGAACATCGTAGCATAACAATAATTTCTTGCTATTACAGTTTGATTTTGTTATGCTTTCATTATGCTTCTTTGTTGACGTCATTATGATCAGTGCATGGCTTCCTGAGAACTGCAGGACTAGTCAAAGGCCGCAGCGCATGTGAGTAGCTGAATGCAAGGTGAGGACCAGATGGTTTGGAAAAATAATAATAATAAAAAAAACCTCCCCTATACAGGGCTGCCTTCAGATGTCTTCTAAAGGTTGCATAGTTACTTATCTCCTTGGCCCGTGGGTTGCATAACTCCATACCCTCCAACATTTCTCGGATGAAAATAGTGACATCCTAAGGAAAATCAGGACATTCCGGGATGTAAATCCGGGACTGTCCCTAAAAAATAGGGACACCTGGCGGGTCTGGAAATGTAAGGTAAGAGATAGGGGACCTGTGCCCTCTGAACGGGGTTGGAATGAGGGGTGTAGCGCCATTCGCCAGTGCCCAGGGACATGCTTGCACATGCTTGCCAGGCAGGGCAGAACGCTGATCATGAAGCACATCCTCTGTGCCCCCCAGTCCTCACCAATGACAGCAGATGTTTGCACATCAGGCAGGGAGTGGTGGGTATTCTTCACCCTCTGCACTTGCCGCCAGAGCCGGGCAGGGCGGGTGCAATGGTGATCTCGGGGGGGGGGGCAAACCTTGTTTGCACCTTCCGGATTGTGCGCTGGGCGCAATGGTTGTCCTGGCACACACACACCCATGCTATGTCACTGGTTGGACTGCAACTCCCATCATCCCTGATCATTGTGGTGTAGTGGTTAAGAGCGGTAGTCTCGTAATCTGGTGAACCGGGTTTGCGTCCCTGCTCCTCCACATGCAGCTGCTGGGTGACCTTGGGCCAGTCACACTTCTCTGAAGTCTCTCAGCCCCGCTCACCTCACAGAGTGTTTGTTGTGGGGGAGGAAGGGAAAGGAGAATGTTAGCCGCTTTGAGACTCCTTCAGGTAGTGATAAAGCGGGATATCAAATCCAAACTCTTCTTCTTCTTCATTGTCTCTGCTGGCTGGTGGTGATGGGAGCTGCAGTCTAGCATCATCCGGAAGGCTTCATACAAGTTCCCCACCTCTGCTGTTGGGAAGAGTGCAAAGCTGTCAACTTTTCCCTTTTCTTGAGAGGAATCCTATTTGGAATAAGGGAATTTCCCTTTAAAAAAGGAAAACGTTGACAGCTATGGAAGAGTGCAACATTGCAGTTGGGAAGGGAGCTGCAATGAGGGCAAAGCCTGCCCCCCATCCCAGAACTGGGCAGCTTGACTTCATGGAGGGGCCTCTCTGCAAAGAACATTCAGAGATGCACCAGAACACCCAGAGCTCCTTGCAATGCACAAGGTCTCTCTCTCCTCAATGCAACTCTGTCCTGATTCTATACGAGAAAAGCAATTTTCC